GTAGCAGCTTTATTTGTAATAGCCAGAATCCGGAAACAATCCAGATGTCCCTCAACCGAGGTATGGATTCAGAAATTATGGTATATTTACACAATGAAATACTACTCAGCAATTAAAAACAAGGAAACCATGAAATTTGCAGGCAAATGGAGGGATCATCATGAGAAGCAGAAAGACACACATGATATATACTCACTTGTAAGTGGATGCTAGACATATAATGTAGGATAATCATACTAAAAGCTGTACAGGTGAAGAAGCTAAGAAAAAAAGGAGAACCTTGGGTAAGAGGCTCAATCCTCATTCAGAAAGGCAAAGGGGATGGACATCAGAAGAGGGAGAAAACAGGGACTAGGACAGGAGCCTACCATATAGGGTCTCTGAAAGACTCTACCCTGTAGGGTATTAAAGCAGAGGCTGAGACTCATAGCCAAACTTTGGGCAGAATGCAGGGAATCATATGAAAGAAGGGGGAGATAGAAAGACCTGGAGGGGACAGGTGCTCCACAGGAGAGCAATAGAAACAAGAAATCTGGACCCAGGAGTCTTTTCTGAGACTGAAACTCCAACCAAGGACCATGCATGGAGATAACCTAGAACCCCTGCTCTGATGTAACCAATGGCAGTTCAGTGTCCAAGTGTGTGTCCTAGTAAGGGGAACAGGAACTGTCTCTGACATGAACTCAGTGGCTGGCTCTTTGATCACCTCCCCATTGTGGGTGCACCCTTGCCTGGCCACAGGGGAAGACAATGTAGACAGTCCTGATGAAACCTGATAGGCTAGAGCCAGATGGAAGGAGAGGAGCGACATTGGAGGAGAAGAGGGAAGGAGAATGGGACTAGGGAGGGGGCTTCGGTGTCACGCACAGCCCTCGCCGATAAGGACGACGCAGCAACAACGGATTTGTCCAGCAGCAACTTTATTGTGAGGCTCTTAACAGCAGATGGAGAAGGACCCCGAACCCTGTGTGCGTTCTGCTTAAGTAGCCAGCAGGGTGACTTGTTCGTCTGTAATTGGTGCTCCACACAAAACCCAATTAGCATGTGGTCTCCAAATGGAGGACCACACAAGCCTACATTAGCATAAGGCGGCGCATGCGCAGATCGCAAAACAATGCTGGCAAGAACCAGGAAGCAGGAAACCGGCGCCATCTTGTAATGGCGGGAGTGGCTCCCGACACTTCGGCTGGGATACAAAGTGAGTAAATTGTAATAAATGAAAAAATAAATTTAAAAAAGCACCCTGAAAATCTGCCTTCCCCAAGGCTTTTCTTTCACTTCTTAAATTCACGGAAGCAGTCAATGTGGGGACACATGACAGACCTGTATCTTCACTGATAAATGTCCATGGTGTTCAGACTACCGCAGCCAATAGATGGAGGGAAAACAGCTTTATTTTCATAATTACTAGAAAACACCAACCAATTCAGTTTTAAAATTTGTACCATGTTTTTTTTTTCTTCTTCTAGAAGTATTGTATTGGGTTAGGTTTAGTAGTTTTTAAGTATTTCTCTATTCTGACATCCAAACCAATAAATAATTTCTATTGAAATACTGAACTCTATTGAAATACTCATTCTGTTGAATAAGTATTTAGTTGAAAGCAAATGTATAACAAATGCAAAATAAAAGAATAAAATACTGGGGAAAGTACAGTATAACTATAATTGCATTATAGTTAGTAAAATTCCATCAAGACTTGATATAAAAATCACAAACTATTGAGAAAAGTACAACTCTCTAGAAATTGAAATAGAGTACATGAAAATATATATATAGGAAAATACATTTTTACTTACTATACTACTTGTGATTGTCAGGTTCATTGTCACAATTGTAGGAACTATTACAAGTATTACTTTGGAATTAAAATGTACAAATGTAAAGAGCAACTTATAGAAAATATTCAAGTAAGATATGTTGCTTGGAAACAATTAAACAAGTGATGAATGAAGTTTAAAAAAACAACACCAGCCCCTCTCAGTGGACTCAGAAGGTAGCAGGGAGGAGATGAGAGAGGGAGATGAGGATTGGGAGGGAAAGAGGGAGAGGGCTACAGCTGGGATAGAAGTGAATGTATAAAAAATATTTAAAAAAAAATATATATATATATAACACCAGGGTGGGATTGGGAGAGGAGGAGGGAGCTACCAGGGGGGAGGGTACAAAGTGAATAAACTGTAATAAATAAATAAATTAATTAATTAATTAAAAAAACATTGTAAGAGAAATTTTGTTTATAAGAATTTTTCTGAAGAAGTAGTTGCAAAAAATAGAAAAAGATATGCAGAAGGATTTATTGCAAGTTTGTTTTTCTAGTAAAAGCAAATTTGGAAACTGCTTCATTGTTCCTTGTTCAAGAGCTAATAAAAAGCATAGAGCATCCATGTAAAGACAATATTACAGGATCATTTACGTATTGGCCTATTTCTGTACATACTGACCAGAACGATTGCCAAGTAAAAATCATGAAAGGAAGAACCGTGATATGTTCCTGTAAAGTTTTCTAGGGTGTTGAGTATGCACTGAAATCTACAAAGGTGTAAATCAAGTAAAATTTGCTTATCTCTCTTATAGGTGTGAATGTGAAAGAGTAGCACTTTTTACGTTCAACCTTCTGTGTCATTCATATTTTGCAGTGAGCATGTAAATTTTTCATTACCAGAAAACACATCACTCTGCATGTTTAAACCTAGTTAATGAATGCAAGTAAATAATTTTTATCACCAAGTTACTCTGCAGCTTATTGGATTATACTTACAAACAACTAACAGAGTCATTCCAAACTGCTTAACAGTTCATTTGTATAATTAGCCAGGCAGAGCGTTTAGCTGACAGTATGTGGGGTTAGAAACTATCTGAAGGGACAGGCAACAAATGCAGCATATTGAAGGATCATTGTGATTAGGTGCCATGGTTATGTTTGTTGTTGTTGTTTGTGGGTTTTTCTCCTCTTTTAGTTTGATAGTGGTTTTTTGCTTGTCTGTTTTAATAAACATGACACAAGCTGGCGTCATCTGAGAAGAGAGAAAGTGCTGTCATCAGACTGGCCTGTAGAGAGCCAGTGGGGGGTTTTCTTGATTGATTATTGCTGTGGGAGAGCCCAGCTCACTGTAGGTGGTACCTGGGTGGTAGGAGAAAGCAGGGCGAGCATTCCACAGAGAGCAAGCCAGTAAGCAGCACTCCTCCATGTCCTCCATTTCAGTTCCTGCCCCCAGGTTCCTGCCTTAAGTTCCTGCTCTGAGCTTCCTGAATATGGATGGCAACATGGACATGCACATAAGACGTATAATCCCTTCTCTGCCTAAGTTGTGTTTGCTCATAGTGTTTTATCACAGCAATAGAATTGGGAGGCTGAGTGGCTGGAGAAAATGACATGTGTGTAGTTTGTTACTTTTCTGCTCAACATGGCACATGCTGCTTTGCAGCTATGATAATGATTACTAATGAACCTCAAAATGCCCGAGAGGAGAGAACCAATCAGCACTTGCAGTTCTCTGTGATCACTAACAGTGCTCATATTTCTGTGTAAAATAAAATGTTCTGATTAATTGTAGATTTAGCAAATAACCTAAGTTAGTTAGACACAAAAATTTCTTTTCTTCTGATTCTTCTTCTGCTGCTGCTTTTTTTTTTTTTTTTTTTGTCCTTTTAAGAAAATTTGACTTACAAGTCTGGAAGCCTAGTGATAACTGTTGGGGAGCATGCCTGCAAGGAATTTCAGCACTAGTTGATAAAGCAAATGAATAAATAGGAAAGAAATAAAATAGATTATAATGTGTTGAAATAAGTTGGGAGTAAAGTCAGAATTTAAATGCAGTTCTCTGTGATCACAGTAGTTAAGAATAAAGCCATTGTTGTTTTTTTTTCTATAATGATAGAGATTGTATGTCACTTTTAGACAGATTTTTGTTCTGTAACAAGATACCTAAATATGATTGCCCCAGCTCTATAAATGAGAATGAAAATACTTTGGAAACTAAAACTTGAGACATTGTGGGAGAGTAAAAATGATAAGGAGACCAACTATGGTAGCAGTGAGGAAAGTCACCACATGGGTGAGTCTGTGAGTCTCAGGTACAGAACTAGGCTACCACACATGTCCATGGACTATTCCACGTGCTTTCCTGACACAAGAGTTGGGGCTGGAGGAAGAATATGTGAACCTAAGCAAAGACATTGGAACTTGGGTGACCTATGGAGTCTGGCCGTTAAATAGACCCAAGGACTTTCTTTCAGAATATGTCAGGTTGGCACTCTTCAGTGATGATACCATAAGCTGTAGGAAGAAACAATTCTTGGGGTTCATGTTTGCTATGGCTTTTATCTAGTGTATGTTCCCTTCAAGAGCCCCTGTGCTTTTAAAACCACTGTCCCAAGCTTGGTCCTTTTAGAAGGCAGTTTAAACATTTAGGGAGTGAGGTTTAGTGAAGGTGCTTAGATCAGTGAGGGTAGCCTTGAAGACACTTGGTTGTCTCTTCTTTGCTCTCTTTCTATACTTGGTCATAAATGTGTCTTAGTTACTTTTCTGTGGCTGTGATAAAATACTCTGACAAAAATAACTTAGGGGAGAAAGGGTTAAGTTGGCTCGCAGTTCAAGTACGCCAGTCATGGTGGGAAAGTCAAGGCAGAAGCCAAGGTGCTGATCACGTTGCGTCCAGTCAGTAAGCAGAGAGTAATGAATGTTCGTGCTTAGCTAACTCTTCCCATTTTATATGCTTTAGGATCGTAGCCAGGGAATGGTGCCACCCACAGTGGGTGGGGCTTACACCCCACTCACCTAATCAAGAAAATCCCTCACAGACATGTTTACTACAAGTCAAAACTAAAAATGCTTCATTAGGGTCTCATTTAACCCTTCCCAAATAAACAGCTCCAAGACCTTCAGCCAACCCCCCCCCCCCCCCGCACTATCTCCTGAGTTCTTGTCTCTGACAGATGGTCTTCCTAGTGCCTCACTGGAACTTCCATGTAAACACACTTCATGTCAACAACTCTACCTGTGTTCCAAAGCAATTCCTCTGCCTGCTGCTGATCCTGGCCATTTTGTTAATTCCCTTCCAGTGTTTTCTTCCTCTTCCTCTTCTTCTTCTTCTTCCTCTTTTTCCAATTGAATGATCTTCATTCTTCCATTTACCACCTGCCCAGAACCTTCAAAAATGTTGGGAATTGTTCATTACATCATTAAAATTTTCCATCATTATATTTCTACTGTGAAGTCTCCAATACTCAAGCCACTTGTAGCTGTGGCTATTAATCACCCTAAGTGTGACTATTTTGATTTTTTTTATATGTATAAAACATCTACATTTTGAGCAATCGTAAGGGAAACAGTGGCCATCTCTGACATGAACTCAGTGGCTGGTTCTCTGATCACCTTCCCTTGGTGGGTGTACCCTTGTCAGGCCACAGAGGAAGACAATGCAGCTAGTCCTGCTGAGACCTAATAGGCTCCGGTCAGATAGAATGGGAAGGAGACCTCCTCATTGTGGGCTAGAGGAAGGGCATAGGGGGAGAAGAAGGATGGAGGGTGGGCTCGGGAGGAGACAAGTGAGGGGACCACAGCCGGGATACAAATTGAATAAGTTGTAATAAATGATAATAATAGTATGATAATAATAATAATGAAAGAAAAATGTAAAGCAGCATTAATAACATATAGATTTCACACCAAAACGATAATTTGAGTGTACTGATTTAAAATAACTACATTCTTATTCACTCTCTCTGGTTTGAAAAATGTAACTCTTAGGATAATTTACATGCATACATGCTTCATGTTATATTTCTACTGGAAAGAAAAATAAGAAAAAAGTAATGTGAGGGGGGTAGAAAGATGACTTAAAGGTTAAGAGCACAGGCTCCTCTTCCAGAAGACCCTGGTTTGATTCCCAAAACCCACATGGAAACACATAACAATCTATAACTCCAGGTCCAGAGTATCTAATGCCCTCTCCAACTTCCATGGATACCAGGAACACAGACATATACAGGCACAATATATATACCCATAAAATAATAATAATAAAATACAAGATTAAAAACCTTATGTGATTTCAGATTTCATGTACTCCATGGTTACTGTATTCCAGGCATTAATCTTAGGACAATGAGTAAAATCTTTATTATGGAAGTTACATGGTAGTAAGTTGAAACAGAATACAGATTAGATAAATAGATAGACAGATAGATAGATAGATAGATAGATAGATAGATAGATAGATAGATAAATAGATAGATAGATAGATAGATAGACAGGCAGACAGATAGATACAAAATAATCAGAAAGCTGATACACTTTGTGCTATGGGGAAAAATTAAATGAGGCACATAGAGAGTGGGTTCTAGATGGTAATTGAGTAGAACTTTGTGAACTCATAGAACAAACATTGTGGACAACTGGGAAGAAGTCTTTAAATCTGAGCATGTGCAAAGAATGTGAGAAGGAGCTGGGCTTAGTAGCTGTGACCGCAGCAGTGAGACAGACATCCCTAGAGTGGAGTAGCTGAGCCTGAGCTGGAATCCTGAAGACAGAATGATAAAGAAGCCCTGAGGCTGGGGTTGAGAGATGGGGTATCATGCAGGGCCTTGACTTTGACTCTGAATTTCGTGCAAAGCCCTTGGGGAGTGTAGAACAGGGAGTGACAGTGCTTAGGGAGGTGAAAGAAGCCAAAGGCGACTCCCAAGTAGTGGTTTGGGTAGTTAGCAGGATGGAATGACCATTTACTGAGAAGGATCAGGCTGTCGGGACTGAAGGGATTGGTGACGTCCTGCCCTTCTCAGGGGCAGAAACAGTGCCAACATTCAGAGATTGGAGGAACCATATTTGTCTTGGGCTACAGTAAAGCTTCCTTTTAGTGGTGGCTTTTAGGGGTGAGTGAGGTTTTCATGGGGAGGAAAAAAGGATGGTAAGATCAGAGATGGAGAGACACATGAGGCTTGTTGGCCAGCCAGCTTCGCCAGTCAGAAACTTTCACAGTCAGCTACTTTGTCTCAGAAAGTAAGTTGAAGGGTGATCAAAGACAGTCAATGCTGACCACACACACATATACACGCACACGCACAAACTCACGCACATAGGTGCACACATACATGCACACAGGCACAAGCTCACAAAAATCAAGAAGGTAATAAGCCCTTTACACTGGAAGATTTTCATGGATGCCTACAGTCTTTTTCTCTCTCCTTCTCCACCATTCACGGCCCTGAAGGGTGGCTTTGTGCATTATGCAAACAAACTTCCTTTATCCTTCAATTTATGATCACGTAAAAGACACAGAAGAGAGATGAGAGCAGGTGGGGAGAGAGGCCAGAGTGACTGTTAATACAGCTCCTAAGAGGAACACTATGGTCTTCCCAGAGTCTTGAGACCAACTGTGCCCCTTGATGTGGGCAAGTGGGATCCTTCACTACCTCTTGTTTTACTTGCTGTAGCCTTGTATCAACCCTTGTAAAGTGTCTCTTTATTAAATTAATGTCAGGGACCTTAAGACTGTTATTCGTTTGGCACTGAAGCCATAATTGTATGCAACATAGAGAAGGAACTTCCAATCGGAGAATTTCACTAGACCTGTTCTCTAAGGTAGCTACTGGCTCCTGAGACACTACTTTCCCTCCAAAGGCAACAACAAGGATAATCTTTGCAGGTACATGCACTGATGCACTGACTGTGCAAACACACACACACACACACATAATTAAAAGTCATAAAACAAACTGGTAGTGGTAAAACATAATCCCAGCACTTGAAAAGCAGAGGCAGGTGAGCTCATGGCAAGCCTGTTCTATATAGTGAATTCCAGGATAGCCATAGAGACAGAGAGAGACCCTGTCTCAAAGAACAAAAATATTCTATGATGGTGATGATGGTGATAAATCAGAGCAACGGAAGAAATAAGATACTGAGAATGTGGGAGGAGAAAATGTGAGAGATGGCTAAGGCTGAGTCTGCTGGAAAGAGCAGGCATCCTCAGCCTCTGTTTACTAAACCTGTCTACATTAAGTCTACTAGGATTTAATGAGATATTTACTTATTTAAATATAAAAAGCACTTGTTTTATATTCTGGAGGAACTCCAGAAAAAATAACCAGCAAAAAGAGAAAATTGCTTAAATAAGTAAAGAGAGAAAAGGCTAAATACACAAAAATAACAAAACCTGAAGTCCCAGCAACTTGGGAACCATGTGGAACCCAGCAACTGGAGCTATATGAGATGGTGAAAGTGATTTTTCTATTGACCTTAGTAAACACAAAAAAACCTGGCACGCTTAACTGTTGGATTGTGGTTGTCACACCCACCCTGTCAGCAAAGTTTCCCAGCTCCCACGGAGGCAAAGTTCAGCACTACTGATAAACATTAACAACATTTCAAATGCCGGGTCTGAACTTGTGGGAAGTAAGCTTTCTGAAAATGCTGAACTAATTAGGATAAATTAAAGCTTAGAATTTTATGTTTTGGTTAATACACAATATTTCCCAAGGTCTTAAATTTTATTTGTTCAAAATGCAAAAATGCTGATCTTTATGACATTTTTATTTCTTTAGCTATAAAACGATCTCGGAAAATTGCGTGCTTTTCAAAGTCAAGACTCAATAATGTGCTCTTGCCATTTTGCAAGAAAAATGATCCTCAGTTTTAAATACACTCTAACTCATTGTTATTCCTGGTTTCTAAAATAAGAAACAACTTTACAACTGTGTAGAAGTGTAGAAAAATGTAGCCAGTTTATGTTCTCCATAACAATACATTTTAAAACTGTCCTGGTTCCTGCATTTGTCCAGTTAAGTAAGTCCACACTCAGCTTAGCTTAGCATGTGTTGGATTTGGTATTGGGAATCTTACACCTACTTTTTCCATGGAAAAATGACTAACCTTAAATATTTTATTAGAAATAATGTGTGTGAACTCATGGCTGGCTCTTTGATTACCTCTCCCTGAAGGGGAAGCAGCCTTGTCCGGCCACAGAGGAGGACAATGCAGCCATTCCTGATGAGACCTAAGAGGCTAGGGTCAGATGGAACGGGAGGAGGACCTCCCCTCCCTGCCCCTGGAGAGGGACATGGGAGGAGATGAGGGAGGAAGGGTGAGGTTGGGAGGGAATGACGGAGGGGGCTACAGCTGGGATACAAAATGAATGAACTATAATTAATATAAAAATAAAAATTAAAAAATAATATGTGACTGATTCCATATAATCTAGCCACTTTGTGCTTTAATTATGCATTTATTATTTATAATGAACACCTTAACTTGGCTTCCCTTTACCATTCAACATACTTTGTGTTGCTGTTCAAAATTACAGTTTTGTAAATCATGTCATTCCTTGTGTATCCTAAACTTTGTCATTAATTTCCTTTACCACAACTGACCTCACAATATCCCTGTGAGAAGTGTTTGTTAACTTCCGACCACTCTGTGCTAGAAGTGAGGTGTTCAGCCTTAAGCTGTATGATGGGTTAGGTTCCAATGGTTGCAGTTTATAGAGTGTCTTTTAGGATGAAGTGTGTTTCTTTGTCTCTATAATTAGAACAATTAAACATATCAATGATTTTTTTAACTTTATTACATTCATGTGCTTAACTTCCTAAACTCATGCATTTACATAAACTTGAATAGTAAGTAAACTTGAATAACTAAATTATTTCAAAAGATAAAAGCAATTCCAGCAGAGTGAGCATGGCGGCTCATGCTTTGAATTCCAGTGGCATTAAAAGCATCGGTGCTTTTAAAGGGTGGCAGAGACAGGAGGAACTCTATGAGTTCAAGTCCAGCCTGGGTTATATAATTAGATTCTGTAGATAGATAGATAGATAGATAGATAGATAGATAGATAGATACATGGATACATAGATTCATTGATAGATACATAGATACACAGACAGATACAATTTCAAAATTACTATTACTAAACATTTTAATAGTGATTCTTAATCAATCTGATCATATTAATTCTTAAATATGAACATTAGGGTTTTGCTTTATACCTTCAATATTCATCCTATTGTTAGATTGTTTTACTATTTTTAATTTGATATTTTACTAATTAAATAATATTTCTGGAGGTCATACTCACTCCTTGTTGATAGCTTGTAAAATTCTTTATTTAAATTCAGTTCTTTGCAAAATCCATATAATATGCATATAATTTCTAATCTCTGTCTTGCTTATTCACGTTGCTGAGAATGCAGTGGCATGTTTTATTTGATAAATATTCACTAGTTAATCATTTTCTTTATTGGCTTATGATTGATTCTGGTGTCCTTCAACCATGTTTCTCAAATTTGGATTGATGCTTGATTTTTACTTTTTGATATAAGTTTGCAATTTGGTTTTATTTTTCATGTGTGTCTATTGGCTGTGGATGCCATCCAAAAGAAAAAAGACTATACTTCCTCCCACTGGACCACTCTGCACCTTTGCTGAAAACCAACTAGGCATGAATTTTTGAGTCATTTCTGAACTCTCACTTCAATCTGTTGGTCTATAGGTGTTTCCCCCCAACAAACTGATTCAGAACTGAGTGAGACAGTTTCTCTAAACTTTTATTGTCTTCCCAGAACTATTATAGGCACTTTGAATGTCTATATAAATTTTCTAATAAACTTGTTTATTGCTAGCAAAAATTGCAAAACATTTTTGCAGTGTATTGTTATTGATCTTAGTTGTCCCTAGATGTAGATACAAGTTCAGACACAAGGCCCAGAGGCCCCTGAGCTGGAACTAACCCGAATGCCTCCTCCCTGAGGACTAGCTCTCACGCTACCAGAAGATGCCATGTAATCTTCCAAGGGAGGGAAGCAACCAACAGTCCTACCCAGCTATGATGTCTCTGAACCACACCAATGACCAGCACGGCACGATAACCTTAAGTATGCAATAGTGGCACACCTACCTTGGCAGTAACCAACTGTTCTCTAGTTGGACTTAAGATCTGCTCAGTAAAAGGGAAATCATGCCTTGTCCTGGAACCCTGGACTACCAAGTCATGGATCTCAGAGAACCTACACCCACCACTTTACTAAACTAGCAATGTGCTGCAAAACCATTCATCTACCTTCTCTGCTGAGAAGAGAGAACTTGTCATGAAAATGACCAAGTGAAAGATATCTTGCATGGGTTATGGAGGTCTTGGTAAGGCAACGTTAATTTCCCTGTTTTGTTTTAATTTGTGAAACTACAGTGTCTGGTTAATATCCTGAACTTTTATCACTGAGTTTATATTCAAGTAACTCTGTGTGGTTTTTCTAATCGTCAGGAAGTAGTGCTATAAACTATAACTTTACACAGGGATTGGAAAGTGCTGATTAAAGCTATAAACTGTAACTGAAATGAGTAGAGGAAGGGGAAAAGCAGTATTGTGGATTTCTAAAGGATTTTCCTCTACAAAATGGTTTGCTATAAAGATGTAATTTTGCCTTCAAAAGCAAATCCAGCAAGCAGGTACAGCCCATGTTAATGCTCATAGTCATAGGATAAAATGTTCTTATAACAGTCAATAATACCAAATGTCTTGATAGACATCCAGTGTAAAAACAGAAATATGACAGGAATCTTCTAAACTTGGACAAGGAATGGAAGTATATGGAAAGGAAGAATTGGTATTTTTTTTTTATTAATTACACTTTATTCATTTTGTATCCCCCCATAAGACCCTCCCTCCTCCCCTCCGGACCCCACCCTCCCTCCCCTTTCTGCATGCATGCCACTCCCCAAGTCCACTGATAGGGGGGGTTCTCCTCTCCTTTCTGATCTTAGTCTATAAGTTCTCATCAAAAGTGGCTGCATTGTCCTCTACCGTGGCCTGGTAAGGCTGCTCCCCACTCAGGGGGAGGTGATCAAAGAGCAGGCCAATCAGATTATGTCAGAGGCAGTCCCTCTTCCCATTACTATGGAACCCACTTGGACACTGAACTGCCATGGGTTACACCAGTGCAGGGGTTCTAGGTTATCTCCACGAATACTCCTTGGTTGGAGTATGAGTCTCTGGGAAGTTCCCTGTGTTCAAATTATCTTGTTCTGTTGCTCTGCTTGTGGAGTTCCCATCCCCTCCAGCTCTTACTATTTCCCACTTCTTACATAAAATTCCATTCACTCTGCCCATCAGTTGGCCATCAGGCTCACCATCTGCTTTGACAGTCTATACTGCAGAGGCTTTCAGAGGCCCTTTGTGGCAGGTTTCAAGGTTGTTTCCTGTTTTCTTCTGGCTTTCAGAGGCCCTCTGTAGCAGGTTCCTAGGTTGTTTCCTATTTTCCTTTTCTTCTGATGTCAATCCTCTTTGCCTTTCAGGATGGGGATTGAACATTTTAGTTAGGGTCCTCTCTTTTGCTTAGTTTGTTTAGATGTACAGATTTTACTGGGTTTATTCTATGTCGTATGTTTATATGAGTGAGTATATACCATGTGTGTTTTTTTGCTTCTGGGACAACTCACTCAGGATAATCCTTTCCAGGTCCCACCATTTACCTGCAAATTTTATGATTTCCTCATTTTTCATTGCTGAGTAATACTCCATTGTATAGATGTACCACAGTTTCTGCATCCATTCTTCAGTTGAGGGGCATCTGGGTTGTTTCCAGCTTCTGGCTATTACAAATAAAGCTGCTACAAACATGGTTGAGCAAATGTCCTTTTTGTGTACTTGAGCCTCTTTTGGGTATATGCCTAGGAGTGGTATGGCTGGATCTTGAGGAAGTGCTATTTCTAGTTGTCTGAGAAAGCGCCAGATTGATTTCCAGAGTGGTTGTACAAGTTTACATTCCCACCAGCAGTGGAGAAGGGTTCCCCTTTCTCCACAACCTCTCCAGCATGTGTTGTCCCTTGAGCTTTTCATCTTGGCCATTCTGATGGGTGTAAGGTGAAATCTCAGGGTTGTTTTGATTTGCATTTCCCTAATGGCTAATGAGGTTGAGCATTTCTTTAAGTGCTTCTCTGCCATTCGATATTCCTCTACAGAGAATTCTCTCTTTAGCTCTGTTCCCCATTTTTTAAGTGGATTACTTGGTTTGTTGCTTTTCAGCTTGTTTAGTTCTTTATATATATTGGATATGAGTCCTCTGTCAGATAAAGGGTTGGTGATGATTCTTTTTCAATCTGTAGGCAGTCGCTTTGTTTTGATGACAGTGTCCTTTACTTTACAGAAGCTTTTCAATTTCATGAGGTCCCATTTATTGATTGTTGCTCTCAGAGCCTGTGCTTTTGGTGTTCTGTTCAGGAAGTTTTCTCCTGTACCAATGAGTTCTAGGGTATTCCCCACTTTTTTTCTAGCCGATTTAATGTGTCTGGTTTTATGTTGAGGTCTTTGATCCACTTGGACTTCAGTTTTGTGCAGGGTGATAAGTATGGATCTATTTTCATTTTTCTACATGTACACATCCAGTTGGACCAGCACCATTTGTTGAAGATGCTGTCTTTTTTCCATTGTATGGTTTTGGCATCTTTGTCAAAAATCAGGTGTCCGTAAGTGTATGGGTTTATTTCTGGGTCTTCTGTTCGATTCCATTGATCCACCATTCTGTTTCTATGCCAGTACCATGCAGTTTTTATAACTGTTGCTCTATAGTACAGCTTGAGATCAGGGATGGAGATACCTCCAGAAGATCTTTTATTGTAGAGGATTGTTTTAGCAATTCTCGGTTTCTTGTTACTCCATACGAAGTTGAGAATTTTTCTTTCCAGGTCTGTAAAGAATTGTGTTGGCAATTTGATGGGAACTGCATTAAATCTGTAGATTGCTTTTGGTAAGATGGCCACTTTTACTATGTTAATCCTGCCAAGCCATGAGCATGGGAGATCTTTCCATCTTCTCATATCTTCCTCTAATTCTTTCTTCAGAGACTTGAAATTTTTTTCATACAAGTCTTTGACTTGCTTGGTTAGGGTTACACCAAGGTACTTTATGTCATTTGTGGCTATTGTGAATGGTGTTGTTTCTCTAATTTCTTTTTCAGCCCTTTTGTCTTTTGTATACAGGAGTGCTACTGATTTTTTTGAGTTAATTTTGTATCCGGCCACTTTGCTGAAGGTGTTTATCAGCTGTAGGAGTTCCCTGGTAGAGTTTTTGGACTCACTCATGTATACTATCATATCATCTGCAAATAGTGATAATTTGACTTCTTCCTTTCCCATCTGTATCCCCTTGATCTCCTTCAACTGTCTTATTGCTCTAGCAAGGACTTCCAGCACTATGTTGAAGAGATATGGAGAGAGTGGGCAGCCTTGTCTTGTCCCTGATTTCAGTGGGATTGCTTTAAGTTTCTCTCCGTTCAGTTTGATGTTGGCTATAGGCTTGCTGTATATCGCCTTTACTATGTTTAGATATGTGCCTTGTATCCCTGATCTCTCCAGTACTTTAAACATGAATGGATGTTGGATTTTGTCAAATGCTTTTTCAGCATCTAGGGAGATTATCATGTGGTTTTTTTCTTTCCGTTTGTTAATATGGTGGATCACATTGATGGATTTCCATATATTGAACCACCCCTGCATACCCGGGATGAAGCCTACTTGGTCATAGTGGATGATATCTTTGATGTGTTCTTGGATTCGGTTTGCAAGTATTTTGTTAAGTATTTTTGCATCAATGTTCATAAGGGAGATTGGCCTGAAATTCTCTTTCTTTGTTGAGTCTTTGTGAGGTTTAGGTACCAAGGTGACTGTGGCTTCATAGAATGAGTTTGGCAATGTTCCTTCTGTTTCTATTTTGTGGAATAGTTTGAAGAGCATTGGAGTTAGCTCTTCTTTGATGGTCTGGTAGAATTCTGCGCTGAAGCCATCTGGTCCTGGGCTTTTTTTGGATGGGAGACTTTTGATGACTGCTTCTATTTCCTTGGGGGATATAGGACTATTTAATTGATTTACCTGGTCCTGATTCAGCTTTGGTAAGTCAAATCGATCAAGAAAATTGTCCATTTCATTTAGATTTTCAAATTTTGTGGCATATAGACTTTTGAAGTAAGTCCTAATGATTGTTTGGATTTCCTCAATGTCTGTAGTTATGTCCCCCTTTTCATTTCTGATTTTGTTGATTTGGGTGGTGTCTCTCTGCCTTTTAGTTAGCTTGGCTAAGGGTTTGTCGATCTTGTTGATTTTTTCAAAGAACCAGCTCTTGGTTTCATTGATTCTTTGAATTGTTTTATTTGTTTCTAATTGATTGATTTCA